ATTTTTATGCATGTTGTCTATGGAATATAATTAGACTTTTAGGGGCACCGAAAATCAATAAAAACAATTCTTGCTAATTATGTAGTCATTTTTTACGGGGTGTAATTTTTGCATGCAGTCAGAAAAAAGTTCATTCGAAAGTCGGCATCCTGAGGTAACTGAAATATCATAGAATTATGTTGCAGTCTGGCCAGTTTTACAACCCTACTTGCTTAATCTTTTCGAAACGAAAACGCATTTCGGAATTTCGGTTGATATTTTATGAGTTAGCCCACCTACTGTACATAGCTCTCAAAGTGGGCATTTTCTTCTTCATCAAAGGACAGAGTATTCATCGCAGCACTGAGATCCAGACTGCAATGCCTCCTTCCTAGTGTGACATTTATGTGTTCTCACCTACATGAGAGCTGATACGCCTTCACAGTATTCTGGTACGTATGGCGCGAACCATATCCTGTGTGGCACGCGTAGACCATCTTTTTTGCTCTATCATCTACGGCGTCCGCGCCCACCTCCGGCATTCTCGATATTACCTTTCCATCGGAGCCAAATGGAGGAGGAATGAGTGCAGTAGATGTCGCTCAATTCTGCTATACTATAAACGCGTTCATAGTGAAGCCAACTCCCATGCGGTGGACATCGGCGCTTGCGACAACCAAACAGAAAAAGAACAGGGAGGAATGGAAGACAGCCAGTCCGTTAGGCCGGAGGTCGGAGGGACCCAAGGTTTGAACGCGGTCGCTGAGCCAGAGGTTCTGCCATTGCCCTACATCATGTCGACTAGCGAATTAACTCCGTGCTCAAACCTCGAGTCGTGGTGACTTATTTCAAGATGCTGCTGTCTGTTAACGGATTATTAACGAAGAGCCTCTTTTGCCGTCTTTCACGCTCTATTTCAGCAACGATTCTCGACAAATTTCTTACTACATTCAAATATTATTTAAACTGAGGGTTCGCAGCCGTGTTCATCGGACTAGCAATGCAGCCATGCGTTTCGTGTGCCTCTTTCTTAAAACGGGTAAACGCATTAGCAAACAATTATGACAAATATTCAGCTGATGGCTAGTCATTCCTCTGCATGCCGCGCTGTTCTATTTTTTCTTAAAACTCTAGTCAATAAAGGCCAACTGGTTTTTTGATATTTCAGAAATGAAACTCTATCGTTACTCCTGCTGATCATTAAAAAATTCATGTTCTAATGACGTCTACTTTCGGGCCGGTTTGAAGATTTTCTACTGAGAACTCATCTGTTTCTACAATTATTTTCTTAAAAACGGATCAATGCCCTAGGTTATTTTGACATCCGTTGGGTTTCATCATCATGGCAAGTATTTTCGGGTGGATGTGCCAGATCAGTCAGTAGATTGGTGGTGCCAAATATCCAGGCTTTTTCGTTGATTCTCAAGTTTTTTATGCCGATTGCCGAAAATTACGTTATCAGCCGTATTGGGTAAAACGGAGCTCAGGTGAATATTGCACTTTTTATGCAAATGCGACCCTTGAGCCTCCCATATTCACCTGTGCATTACTGACCAACATAAGCGGAGAAGTAGACAGTTTGTTTGTTCTTTCCTACCTTAACCTGATTTGCTGCTCCATTATGAGTGCCAAATTGTTAAGACCTCTGACGCAATAGGTAAAGTCAGTTTACTTTCAACCAACGGGAATGTCTGCTAAAATATTGAATGACCGGGCGAGACTCCGCACACAGAGGAGAGAATGCATGGTCACATGACCGCGGTCAGCACCTCCTCTTTCTCTCGTTTATTAAGCCCACGTGCGCATGTTGCAGTCAATCAGAATTGTTCATGTCTCACTTGAATACGTATGACCCCACCTACACACCATATGGACACAAAAACACTTGAGCTTGCCTTCTAAACCTATAAAGGTAACTGACAGTGTTCTATATCTTACTCCCTATCATGCAGGACTTAGCATCGTCAACCCGCGCCCTGGCATTTTCAGTGGCCACCGACGCCAGAGATAAGGTTCTGTTCGCAGTAAAGCCTCACATTTGGGTGAGTGTGACGCTCTGAGAATACTTACAGCCTAGACACTGCACCTCCTCTTAATTTTAAGTAAATTACTGTCCGAATGCTGTGACTTACAAACAATTTGCTAATAGAAACGAAGAGGCGAGTTCCAGGAAGTAGTCGCGGAGAATATCGCTGAAAGAAGTTTTGTGGCTGTCGTTGAAACGACTTCGATGTCCTGTGTCTTGTACCCTTTTCAACCTAATGAGTGTTTTAATTTTCGACACAATGTAGTCAGTACGTAAAGGAAGAATTGGCTGTTGTTCCGTGTACCCGTACGTTTAAAGTTATCTGCTCCAGTTTGCGAGAAGAAGGTCGTGCTAAAATTCCTGGCTTGGATGGTTCCCAACCGACGCGATAAATCCATCCTGCCGGGATAGAGAGTCGGGCTGAAGTGTTTCCTGTCGAACGTGGTGGTCTCTGTGGCACTCTGACGTGAACGCTATCCAAGCCGATCACTTCCGGCTTCTATGGTAACCTGATCCACCGTGTGTGGTACGCCAATGCGCCCGATTCCGCCTTCGGCCTCCTTTACTCCGTCTTGCCAGCGAGACCAGACTGATGAGGGAGGGGAGAGTGTGACAGATGCTTCGCAAGTCTGCCACCACAATAAACTGACTTACGCACAAGTTACCGCCTTCTGCTCGGCAAGCCGTGATGTTAACGGTAAAGACTGTCATTCGTGACGACCGAACCGACAGGCTTAAATATTTTTGCACTAGAATTCTATGTAGGCGCCGTGAGAAGTGAAAACTGTGATTCCTATTCCATTTATACACCTACCTGTGTGTAAAATAATGTGGCCTAGCTTTATAGCTTCATTAAAAGAATTTATATTCAAGCTTTATTTCGATGATTGTTTTAGCAATCCTCCGGTTTCTCAAAAACCAAAAGTCAATATGTCAAACTACACATTCAACTTGATTGGTTTTAATTCTAAATATGTTGGATGTGGACTCAAATAAAGTTTGAGTTCCTGCATGTTAGTAATATATGGCCGGTTTGCATCTACTCTGCATAACCATAACATACACATTGAAAATCACTTGATAGAGTAATACAGACTGTCTTTGGAGTATGGTCATGAATTCTGAAAGTCGCAAATACTATTATTTCTTTTTAAAACGTTTAGAATATCAGTGAAATCCCGTCGAGCGCTCTTCTTCGTGATTCAAAATGTTGTGACACGGGAACTACCTTCTCTTAAGGCGAAGAATAAAATTGCTACTTCCTGACAATGGGTTTAGCATATCGCC